CTGGCAGCGATGGCACAGTAAAGTTGGTAAATAACATGTCAAGAGTTCTGAAGGTGGCTTAAGTTCAAAAGACTAATCATGACAGTTTCTGCATTGTGCATGAATTTGTTGGTTGTATTGTCCTTTGGGATGATGTGTCAACAGATTTCAGTTATGGTAGTCTAACAAAGCTCCGTCTTTAGACATTTGTTGCTATAGCAGTGGAGTCAAGCATAAATGAACTTTGTCAGATACGAGGAACTGTCTCAGAACTGCCTCCCAGCAGGATGGAGGAGTGGAATAATTAATAGGTCTAATATTCCACTTCATCCTGACAGCTTCTCGAGAACTCATGTGTGACAAGAAAGCGTAAAGACCCGTCTCGCTGTCAAACAGGCTGATAAAGATGAGTCTTTTTATGATTCATGACATGAGATAAGAAGCACAAAAAAGCAAGCCCTGTGTTGGCGAAGTGCATCACTGGCAGTCCAGCTCTGATGTCGATGGCATTATGTCAGATTTGTGAGATGGATATGGACGACTGCACTGTGGTGCAGGCTTTCCTTGTAATTTTGCATTTGGGCCAAATGCATGTTTTCGACAGGCTTCTAGAGAATAAATCTTTTTTTTTTTCTTGTCATTTTTTTTTTCTTTAAAATCAAAAGTGGCACAGTTATTGCACTGAACGTAGCAATGCATGCTGGGACTGTTCTCCCATGAGCTTTGTGAAAACCAGCAGAGCACGATATGGCTCTCCATGGTCTGTTGGTGTAGAGGCAAGCCGAAACAAATAATACAGCTCCCTATTTGGAAGGCATTATTCCCACAGAAGTGTGAGGCTATTTATGTTGAGTGTGGGCGTGTATAATGAGTGTGGCCATACCAATGTGCCAATTAGTCTCATACATGCATGCCTGCTTTGCCACTTGTTGGGAATTAAGATGTGATTTTGACAGAAATAACTGCAGCTGTGATGTCGATCGTGGGCTTGGATTATGTGAATTTTTTAAGCCTGATGCCTGCTTTAATGAAAGATGGTTTTCCAATAAATTTTAATATTTGGATTAAAGTGCTTCAGAAAGACTGTGTGACTGTGTGAGACAGTCGGACGCTGTTAATTGAAAGCAAGGATAATTATTATTATTAAGAATAACATCTCCCACAGTCTGCCAGATAGGTCCTGATCAATTTTACAATAAATACGCCCTCAAACAAAAATGCATCACATTCATCTTGTGGAGGTTACACTGTGACACTGAATATCACGAAACTGAGTTTTACTTTGAGTCCAAAATGTGAGCAAAACCAATTTCAGTCCAAAGTGACTTGGGGCAGAAATTAGTGTTGTGAATTTAACTGAATGCTGTGCGGAAGAAAAGATGGCGGTAAATATATTTGCCTAATCATTTAGTGACTTTACCACTCACACTACACAATGTGTGTAACACAACTCAAGGCTTTGATGTGAGTTTTATTAGTTTTATCTCTAAAGGACAGTTGGGAGATTAAGTGTAACTTAATCTCTCCAAACCTCTGTGCCTGTTGGCAAATGGCAGTTTTCTGCAACACTAGCATTACCCTCATTACATGAAAACTGGATAGAAGTTGGCCTTATCATGTTGTGTTTTCCAGATGGCAATAGCTAACAAGACAACAAACGTGGGAATAATAAGAAGGGAATGGCCTCGAATCAAAGCAACAAATAGTACTGCTGTCGACCTCAGTTAGTACTACGAGCACTGCAGGTGAGTTGTTCCTTTAGCATGGACAGGTGCGTTTAAGAGAGAGGCCTGCAGAGAACCGAGCAATTTATTAGACATTTTTAAACCAATCGGTGGGTTGGCTCTTGATTGATCTCTTGTTTATTGCACAGACTAGGGGTATTCTTTCCTTAATTTAATACTGAACTGAGAGAAGAAGCCTGATTTGTAATCCGCAGAGCCACTTTTCCTCACACTGTATGTATATTTTTCAGCCATGCTGGCTCCAATACCATCACACTTGTCAGGACTCTGGTCTATTACTTTCTCCTCCTTTTCTAAAAGACAGCAATTAATCTAATTAGTAATCAATCAGCCTTTAGGCCTCCCGCCTCCTCTGTGCTAATGGAGGATATGACAGGCCTGGACCTTGCATTATTAATACCACCATTCCTGTACCCCTAGACCCCCCCCGAACGCCCACTGCCAGGAGGCCATTGATCACTACCATAACCAAGCGAGCACTGCAGGGAAGTTTTCCAGCGTAGTGGGATTGTAGACGGGAATGTGGTGTGTCGTCGTGTGGTGTGTTGCTGTGAAATCCGTTCAGTGGGATTTAGCATAATTTTGGTAACGGAAAGATTTTGCCAACTTTGCTCACGGGAGACTGACTAGATGCGAAACTTCTAAAAATGAAATATTTGCTTGCTGGTGCATTGAGTCTGTGGAGAAGCTCATGGTGCACATTTGAAGGAGAAGAGGGATTGTATGAGTGGTGTTAATGGGAATGTTGTGCTCTGAAAAGCTCATTTGGTAAATGGGGCTCACCTCAAAACTATTATGGCAGGATACGGGGGCCTCTCTGCGGGACTATTTCTAGAAAATGAGATTAGAAATTATAAAACGCTGCTAATGCCGGGGCACAGTGATCGCAGTGTGGCAATAAAACAATCACTGCAACATTATCCTTCATCTCCCATGCGCTATATGAGCACCCAGTCTAATAGACCCAGCAGCTGAAGTGATGGAGCCTGGTAGCAGCCCCACCAGCTGATCTCATTCACTCTAATCAATACTGGAACCTACTCTGCCTAGACTGGGTGGGAAAACAGCTGCGCAGAACAACAAAACTTCACCCTGTGTCCTCTTTAACTGAATCTGCTGATCCTAATTTATCTAACCTGTGTGCCAGTGGCTGTTAATCATGCTGTCGTCCAGACTACAGGTTGTTTTTGAGAACGACAAGTTGAGGCTTGTGTGACATGGATGTTTTTGAGAATATCCCTTTTGTTTGAGATGAAGCCCTACCCTTAAAATCATTAGTCAGTTTAAAGCTGAAATGACAACTTTATTATTATTATTAGTAGTAGTAGTACTGTATAAATGGGGTAAATGTAGGCTTTGTGGTTGGACAAAACAAGTAATTTTAACATAATTTCTATTAGTTTCAGCTTTATTTGAAATAAAGTTGCACATTAAACAAAAAAATTAAGCAGGTGATGAGTGATTAAAGGTGTTTTGGATAACAAACACCTTATTTTAAACATATTTCTTTCATTCGTCACCCTTCTGCATGCACAGTATGTGTTGGGGGAAAATAATCATTATTATTGTTGCCTAATATTTTTGATGGAGATGATTTTTGACAAAAAAGACAGCTGCAGCCTGTCCGCAACATGACTGATGGGTGGGAGGCTGGAAAGGAGTGGTCAGAGGTTCTTTTTGTTCTTTTTAAAGCTGACATCATTCTTTACTTCACCAGGCCACTTCCCATGACTAAATCAGAGTGTGATTTGGCGTAGTGGCCATAACATTTAAACTAACCAGCCATGTGTTTAGAGTATAACACGGCCTCCTGCCTTTACACCACACAGGTTAAGTCACCACAAACCAGCGTGCCAAAGCTGTCACACCACTCTGCTTAATTTGCGGATGGCTGGGGTTGTTAAGTATTTACAAGCCTTCAGTGGCTTTATGAATCTATGATGGGAGTGAGCGTTGGTGTTGAGCTCACAGCAGCTGCAGTCGGCTGCCTCATTCGGGAGGGATTGGGAAAGCAATGCAGCTCATCTGCTGCGCTGTGTGAGTGAGTCAGTGGACAGGCTTTATCTGTGGCTAAGGATTTGGGGACTCACTCTGCGGTCACAACCTCTTCCCCCCCCTTTTTTTTTTTTTTTTTTACTCGAGCGCCATGTGTATGTAGGTTTATATAGATTAAGAAGTCATTTTCTTAGGAGGTAAGCTCAGTTATGGGAATTCGCTGGTTATCTGAGATGACTTTTTGTGTGTGTGTGTGCGGAGAGCTGAATTTGGGATAATGGATTTACAAGGAAGTTCATCTGTCATGAATTCTCTTCAGTGCGATTGTGGTTTTGCTATGGGGAGGTTGGGTAAAGAATGACTGTGCAGTTGGAGAGATGAACTAACTACAGAGCAGCACTGGTTTAAACCCCCAGCTGTGTTGCATGAATGAGTCTCTTGAGAACAGAGAGGGGCTTCAAGCGAATGAAGAAAGTTTCAAAGTTCTGACAAGTCTAGATAGATGTGAAAAAGCTCCCAGCAAACATGACAAATAGTAAAGCTCCTAAATATCTGCTACAAAGTATGGAAAAAAAAAAAACTTATTTGCGTGGTTAATGCTGGGGTAACAAGGTTATGCAGATCAGAAATAAAGTGCGGGTGTGTTAGGTTCAGCTCTATTTTTATACCATCGTTGCTCCGTTTTATTATTTTGCAGCTAATATTTGGAGGTGCATCAGTCCTGTTGTTCTACATAGTCTTACCTCCATATTGAATGTTACAAAACCAAGTTTTGGATGAAGTTCCCACACAGTTTACCATAAGCGTGGGCACGTTTAAAACCACAAGGTGCATTTGGTCCACATTTTGTGTACATATGCAGAGAGTGTGGGCAGAGGTTTGTGCATTCGTGCTGAATAATCATGAATTTGTCTTTTTGTTTATACATATTTGATATTGTTTGTTTTATTACACAGTGAATGCACACTCATAAATCATAAAATTGAAAGAGGGAATGAAAATATAGGACTGGGAAAGAGCAATGTGGTCTATAAGCAACATGAAGCTGCTTGCCTATACCAGCACATCTGCTTCCATTTCTGCTTGTGTTGGTTGTGATGTTATGACAGCAGAGGGACTGAGGAGTTTACACTGAGAGGACATAGAGCCCCTCTCTGTGGGATCTCTTTGGGTCAGTGGCCCCGTTTAAGGAACCCCAGAGGTTTTTCGGCAGTGTGTTTGCAGTGCAGCTGTCTTTATTCTGCTTTACATTCTCATTTTTTTTTCTCTGTTTGCTTTCAGAGGAAGTTCACTGAAGATTGAACGTTTTTTGAATGGAAGACCTCAAAGAGACTTTTAATCCTTGAAGACCCTGCAAACACCTTATCTTCATAACCCCTTCTGCACACGGCTGCCGAGGTCCTTTCCCGAGAGACGAAGGGGCAGCAGAGATTGGTGGATTGCTGGATGTGACAAACACCTTTGTAAGTTCAGTTTTAGCTTTCCCTTGATTTAAATTTTTCCCTTCATTTTGGGTTAAGGAATTCCCAATCTGTAATCAGGATAATATCTTAGGATATTTCCAGCATTGTACTTGAGTGAGGGCTCCTGGACACCTGATTTCACTCCTTTGCATTTTGCTGTGTTCAATATTTAAGATTTAATAAGCAATCAAACGGTTCATGAGGTTTACCCAAAAGTACATTGATTGATTGATTGAAAGTGGCAGCTTGATGGCACCATTAGAAACGACCAACTTCCATCAGATTGAATATAAGAATTTGATTTCCATGCTAAATTTTGAATTCAGCAGTGCAGGACAAAACAGAAGTTTGCTTTAGATGGCTTTATGATCTGTAGAGCATGCAGCATCGTCTGCCCTTAGACACGTCATTGAGAGAAGCCAAACATGTACCAGAAAAAATGGAGGTAATGGTTGCAGAAACGCAGGCGAGGATGTTTTAAGCATGCAACACAAATACATCAAATTAACCATGACCAGGCTTTACACTGCGTTCCTCTGTGCATGCTGTAAACTCTTTCAGAAGCATAATTTCACACAATTTTGTGTATTGATGATGAATGTGAGAAATGATGACATGTTTGTCTGCCACGAATTTGAGTGCATAAAGTTCATACCCTGTGAGGCTCACATTGGCCATAGTAATAAGAGAAAACCATTTGGCAGTTAAGAGCTTGATTGTATGACACAGTGCAGGTCATGATTTCATTTTGTGTTTTTCCAAAAGCAAAATGACTCGAGGGCTTTCAAGCAAAGCTCTGCCTCACAGAAACAGGTAGACAAATAAACGTGTAAAAATCGTTTGTAACTCGAACACATTGTTTTCCTGGGGTTGGCAGAGGCTTTGTCCCCACGAGCTGTTATTTACGATGATCTGACACTATGAATGCTCATGTTGGACTCTTGATCTCTTTATTCATACCACCTTTCAAAGCTCCACTGTTGTGTGATCCCTCTTTTGGCTGGCTCTGCATATGTGCAGCACAGGACCATTGTAGAGTGTTGTGCGTCAGTCAGAATGAATAGGAGCCCACCGCTCTTGCTTTGCGGTGTGCTGACAGCAGGGAAACAATACATGATAGCTTGGTTAGAAGGTTGAGTTTGTAGGAATTAGGTTGTTGGTGTTGAACCGGATCACTGGCATCACGGTGGCATAAGGGGCCCCGATGTGGACACCCATTTTCTGCCTGTCATTATTGATGACACAAAGACGTATCAAAAAGGGTGAAATGGGACAGAACAGCAGTCAGTGCGGGTGCAAAGGCGTGAAACATGATCAGACCACTCTGTTGAATAGTGGTATTATGGTGCCAAAAATGTGAGCGAGAGAGAGAGAGAGAGATGGGGGCAGAAAGAGAGTGACTGGCATTGCTTTCATATCTTGTCACCTACTCACTCCACAGTGCTGGCACTGTGAAGCATAGTTTGATGCATAGTTTAGATGTATGAACATTTGTTCATGGCCCACATGGTTTTGCAAGAAAAACAAAAAGGGTCTTTGCACGCCAAACCATAGCAGCCGAAAGCTGCAGGCAAATCCTGCCCTCTGTCTTAATTTGTACAACTTTACAAGCAGGGCACTGAGCTAAATTTTCGAACCTGCATGATATGAATGAAAATCACAGAGGGGTTAACATTTTAGAATTGTTGTCTATTTTTTTCCCCCAGTTTATTCAGATAACAGATTAACATTCTTTTCCACCCCATCACTTCTCTGCATGACCCTAGTTTTAGCACCTGTCTTTTCAGCTACAAATAAGGAAAGCTGTCTCTAAATCAGTAACACACTGAGAATGCAGCTGTCTCTGTTTCCTCCTTTTTATTTCAAAATTAAATTGTGGATTTTTTTAAATTTTTATTTTTTTAGTTTGTTTTTGCCTTTTCCTAAAAACTCATATGGTTAGAAGATGTGACATACGTGCTGGCCCACGTTTTAGCCCAGGGTGTTGCAATGTGGTTTGTACTGGAGTCACCAGGATGCCCCCCCCCCGTGTATATTCCTTTGTCTTTGCCCTCTGATAAACTTCAGTTGACCTCTCTCACTGCATGTCTCGAGGGCTTGAGTCTTTGTCAGTGCCCTAATTTTCTCCTCCTTACCCTTTTTCCCATCTTCATTCCTGACTTGCGCTCTTGTTCAGTGTTAAATGAAGGCATGGCCACACTTGGATGTGCTGTGACAAATTGGCACACAGGAGGCAGATGGTGATGGGGAGGAGACTGGTTGTCATGCCATTTGCTGTAACGACATGAATTGATCTCTGTGCCACAGAGCAGCCAAACACGCTTCACTTGTGTAATCCTGACTTTGGTTAGCGCATACGTGCATGCACACACACGTATGCCTACACACACACCCCAACAAACTCTGTTCCACATGCCACACTACACCAGCCTTCCGTCCCCATTAGTATCAATGATGTGTGCAGTGGAGGCGCTCGCTAACTGTCATAGGCTCTTTGCTTGGATCCGCTCAGAGAGGCAAAGGGATGCTCAGGGATTTTGACAGAGAGACAGAGCTCAGACTAATGGTAGGCCGGTGAGAGTCGGGGAGCCCTAAAAAAAGAGCCTACGATAGGCATAGCTTTGCCGGTGTACTGTACGTGTCAGCCAGCTGTTCTATTTACAGAGCTGCTGTCTTAACAATGTTTGCCCATGAGGCTTTGGTGCAACTCGTCTAGAATCCCCATGGGTGTTTTTTATTGCAACATGACTTCTGGTAAAATTATAGTTTTCCTGACAGGACTGGCATTGCTCATTAGGCCTTCCAAGGGATATTAAATTTGTTCCCCAATTGGGTTTTCTTTGGAGCTGCATTAAAATATACTCATCTTAGCTTAAATTATGTGTGGATACACAAGAGACTATGTGTTACGAATCGGTGTAAAATGAAAAAATGAAGCAAGCTTTACTTTATAATGTTGGCACTCTTGTACCTTGAGCAAAAAGGTAAAGGGTCATGGACAGGTTAACAGTTAAACTACTAAAATTCCTGCTGTAGTATCTTACAAATAGTTGTCAGTTTAACACAAAAACAAGCGGGTGCTTTAGAGTGGAGATGGCGTAGATACCATCAGACAGGAAGACAGTGCAACATATGTCTTATCTTAGTGTAAGACTGATGAAATGCCCAACGAACCAGTGTTTGATTGGGGAACTGCAGAGAACTGAGAGGTTAATGGGTTGTGGTCTGTAAAAATCACAACAAGTACTGAATTCACGTACACGCCAAAACACTGTAAAGGCCAGATCAATGACAGGATTTCCTGAAGCAGCGGTTCAGAAAATCAAATTTACTGATGAACTTTTCTACCCCTACCTGATCGATACAGTCTTCAATACACGGTAGAGGGTAGGAGTACGAGTCTGTACAAAGTCTTGGCATGTTGTCAGACTTGGACAAACATAGCAATGCCCAACTAGAACTGGAACATCAAGATATTTTCGTCGGACAAGATAAACCCAGTAAAAACATGTGATTGGATTTTAAGTCTTTACATCTATGTTATGTTCACTCAGCTGACTCTTATATGGCTTCAATAGAGTTACATGACAAAGCTGCTTAGAAGCAGTATGATCAGATAATTCTGATTTGAAACCATTCTCCAAAACTGCGCACAGGCCAGCAAACGTCATCTATAATAGGGAACTTAGAATTGGCAACGGGCTAACATCTGATCTCCAGGGAGAAAAACGCCTCTCTCGCTCTCTCCACACGCTGATCATAAAAGCTCCTAATTCTTCTCTGGGTGGATACCAAACTCTCCCTCGTCGGCTTCTATTCATCCTGGAACAACAAGGCAAACCCTCCTCCCAATCACGCTTAAATTGTGCACAGTATGCGCGCAAGGCAGACTTCACTATGTGGTTAGGCTTACTTGAGCCTTGGCATGTGTCACATGGCTTTATGTAGGCTGTGACATTTCAATCGTCGCCAAAAAGCGTATGCGAGGATGCACTCATGGACACCTGCATGACCTAACTGATCATGAGAAAAGAGGAAAACCACGTCATGGAATTCTAGACCGAACTGACCCTCAATCCCCTAGTTCCCTTGGCGACAGTCTGCCTGATGTGAGTAAACCTTCTGCTGATTTGCAGAAAACATTTTTGAGTATGTATTAATGTCCTTTGGGTGCCTCAATAAAAACACCCCAGTGCTAGTACATTAAAAACCACCATGCAAATATCAGTCAGTTGTAATTAGTCTGATTTAAAGTTCTTAGCCATGATTGCCACTGTTAGAATATAAACATGTGTCTTTCGTAAGGGAAAGCAATCTGCTAGTCACATTTGGCTCTAAATTGAGTTAACCGTTAAAAGTACAGGTTTTCCAAATGAAAGGGGATCGTTAATGGATCCGATTTTCTTTTCATTAAAAGCCTGCATTCAGTATGTGGGCGAGAGGATGGGATAATTGCTGGCTTTAGCGCTCCTCACCTGGAACGTGACAGGATAACTTTCCCACGGTTGTTTAATATTCAGTGAACTCGCGAGCCCTAAGCAGGGAATATCGATCAACACATGTAATGTATTCCTTGCATCCCTAACAGGCATCTGTAGAGCAAAGATCTCAAATGGCAGAGTCTCCTTTCATGATTTTCCTCAAGCAGTGAATTATTCTTTTTACAGATCACTATTTAATCTGGTATTCAACAGTGTTTTGATGAGCTTTATAACTACAGAGAGAGCCAAATCGACTTTTCTCTGAAACATACCTCTCAGACTAATATTTGGACTTCAAAGCAACTTTTTGCTGACTTTTATATTTATCAATGGCTAATTAACCTCACATGGGAAAGCAGAAATGATGCAATTTCTTGGGGCTAGCTTAACTAGCCAGCTTAGCAAAAAAAAAAGAAAAGAAAGAAAAGTGCAAACCTCACACAGCATGCAGTGTTTTATGAGATGTCCACACGCTATTAGACACTCAGAGTTGCTGGACAGGAGCCAGTTTGTCAGTTT